CGGGTGCCCGCACGGTGCCTTCCCGGGCTTTCTCACGGCTCAGGGACGGACACGTGGGCTGCAGTTGGCACCATTCCTCAGGACGCCTTCTGGATGCGGTGCTGACTTGTTTGATTACTTCAAATTTGTCTTTCTCTGCTGGGGCCACCAAGCTCTGGCTTCTGTGGTTTTAGTTTAATGCTTACAAAAAAGTGGGGTGTTTTGGTTTTTTAGCTACTGACGCTGGCAGCTTTTGTGAATTTATTTCTTGGGGGATGGCAAAGCAGCCATTCTCTGGTTCTTCAGCACCTAAATATTTGCAGTGTTGTCCTGCAATGCCTATCACGCAGTAACGAAGTATTTCAGCTGTAACGAATGGAACCTTTCGTTAGTGGCCCTTAAACTGGTGTAAGCCGAACAGTTTTATGTCTTTGAAACCCTGCAAACGATGGCTAATGCTCTCACAGTCGTTACCATGAAATGGATTTATCCTAAATGCTGGCAAATGAGCCCTGTCCTCTCTGCGAGCTAAACCCTGAGTTCTCTTTTCTGCATGTGGAAGTCACTGATGCCTGTCGCTCTTTTGTGTCAAGTGAATCGTTACGGGAAACTACCAGTTAACCTTGCCATCCCAGTACTTAACTGGGAGGAGAGTAGTTGTACGTACGTCAGGGTGTTCAAAGACTTAAAATAGGTATCGTGTTGCGTTTGACTTTCACAGCCTGTTGCTTCGGGTGCTTCAGATCTCAGTTTAGAAAGACTGACTTGTAGGAAAACGCTTTGCATGGTGCTTACCTCAAGTGTCTGCTAGAGCAGGAGCGATAACCTGTTCCTCACGCCCTGCCCGCCTTTACCCGCCCGCGCCGTTCAGTTGGAATGTTCTTTATTTCCCAGTTCTCAGATGAAACTGGCAAACTTCACCAGTGCTAACGTGGGTCACGGGGGCAGAGCTGGTGAGCCTAAAGCGGGAAGATCGAAATCCAGCGCGCTGGAGGTCAGGCTGACGGCTCGCTCGTCCTGCCAGCGCCGTGGCTGACGCTCCTCGTGCGCTGGCAGGAGCAGGAGCTGGGAATGCCAGGCAGGCGCTTGCTGGGTTTACTGGGTCAGGCGGAGCGTGAGCCTGCAGATCCGGAAGGGAGGGACTTGGGTAAAGATGGTTTGCTCTACCTGAGGTGGTGTCAGTAGGGACAGGAGGGAAAATGGGTGATTTTGGTGTTAACCTTCTCTCTGTCTCAGTCCTCCAGCAGTGATAGTGGCAGCACGAGCAGCAGCTGCAGTAGCATCCACAGCCCGGACAGAGCGTGTGCTGCAGAAACCAGCTTCCACCCAGTTGTTGCAGGCTCCAGTCCAGTCTCCTGTCAGGCCGTCCATGACCAATCGGCGTTGAGCCAAGGGCCCTATTTCTACATCAACCAGATCTTGAAGGAGGCACACTTTCACAGCCTACAGAGCCGGGGACGCCTGCCAACATGATGACCCAGCAGCTCCCTTACTTCTGTGAACGGACAGCATTGTAGATGGGATATTTCAACTTTCAAAGTTTGTTAAAAAGGAATTGCACAAAATGCCTGTTACCTTTTCACCCTGTATTTGAAATAACAGGTCAACAGGAAATTGTTTACGTGTGGTTGCTGCACTATTCCAATGCAAAAGGGGCTTTGAAGCAATTTTTATAGGATTCTTTTTGGGGTGGTTGTAAAGTAGGTGTCAAGAGGAGACTTGAGGAATCCACATCTGTGTATAGGATCGCAAAATGTCCAGTTCCAATCGACTGCCTAATCTGTTTATTTGTTTGTTAGCAATTTGTTGCTTTCTGTAAAGTTCTCTCAAATGTTCCTCTTCAGTTTTATAAGTCTTTTTTTAATTTCAATAAACTAGTCAAAAATGGATTTGGCAACATACTTTTTTGGAGCATTTAGAGTTCATAAGCCAGTAAGAACAGGCGCTGGCACTGGACTCCCTTAGGCCTGCCCCAGCTGCGAACTTTCCACCCCGCTGGGTGTGCGAGGAGCCTTATCTCGCTTGATCTTTACTGCTGAGAGGGGGGTTGTACATCGCTCCACTACCCGTTTCTAGCTGTGAAATGTTGTGTTTTCTGTTACAGCGTGGAGTGGTTGGTTTTGTTTTGGTTTTTTTCTTCTTTAATTTGACTTTAAGGTTAACAGCTTCTAAGGAATAGGAGGTGGAAGAGTAGCTCCACCTCCGTTCCAGCAGCCAGCTCGCAAGGACAATCCTGACCTGTGCCTCGTTCGAGGGGCACACTAGGATGGGGCTAAGGATGGAAAAACAAAGGAAGGTGTCACTGCTCCCTGCCACGGGGCGAGAGTGATCTCAGTGAAGACAACTACACAGACAAGCTCTTTAGTTTTTAATTCCATCACTTGGTCATGCCAGAAAGCCAGCCCAGCTTGAAGAGAGAAGGTGCAGCGGTGTCTTCCTCTTCCGTGACCAGCTGCCGGAACAACGAGCCAGGGCGCGAGGCCTCATCTTCCGCCCTCGTGAGCGCAGGAGCTGGAACCTGCCAAGTTTTTGAAGACACAAGCATCAGTCACTCTTACAGCACACCTTTGACTTACTCCATACCCTCACCTGTAGTAGCTGCAAGGAGGTGTAGACTACAGCAGAACAGCTCTTCCCAGGGAACTTGAACCCCAACCTAGGCTGTGTCACTCCTGGTGGTTAGTGACAGGCAGAGGAGCACAGCACCTTGCTGTTGTTAGCAACAGGAAACTGCAGATGGCATTCAATGCTCAAAAAACCCCCCAAAAAGGGGCTGTTGCCCTTGAGAGCTGTTCTTGAGCAGCTAAGGACTTGAACCTTTCCAGACCTGGCCTAGCGTAGGAGGAGCAAGGGGTCTAGGGAAGCGTGGCTAGCGCAGAACACCCGTGGGCCACCACGGCAGGTGAGGGGAGGGGTGAGAGCAAGCCAAACATCACTGCACACCGCTCTGCTACAGCTGAGGGCTCAGAGGTGAAGAGCACCTTCAGGGTGATGCTTTGGGCTTTTAAACCACCCTTATGCTACATCTGGTCCTTCAAGCTTCCGAATACTGGAGAACAGGAGGTGCAGAGTAAACATCAGCATCTCAAGCAACACTCTCTGCTCCAATGAAACCAGACCTTGACTCTTCCAGCCCAGTTGAAAAGACTTCACCACAGATGGATTATTGGGTTAATAATAGCCAAAGGAAACAGATTACTAGTTACTGCTTCCTGAAACACGGAGGTATTCCTTGGCGCTCTCAACCCTCAGCATGCAGAGCTCCAGCTAAGCAGCTGTTTTAAACTGGGGGAAACACAGCACCATAATGGTTGTCTACTGCTAAACTCAGAAACAGGACAACACCGAGCTTTGCAAGAGAAGCAAGCCACTCCGTTCACACAGGCTTCAATACCCAAGCCAGGCTTCGTCGGGAGTTAGAGGTCAGCAGCGCACTGGAAAGGAGTTCACATAACCAACCAGTATCCTCCAACCAGTATCCTCCAACCAGTATCCTCCAACCAGTATCCTCCAACCAGTATCCTCCAACCAGTATCCTCCAACCAGTATCCTCCAACCAGTATCCTCCAACCAGTATCCTCCAACCAGTATCCTCCAACCAGTATCCTCCAACCAGTATCCTCCAACCAGTATCCTCCAACCAGTATCCTCCAACCAGTATCCTCCAACCAGTATCCTCCAACCAGTATCCTCCAACCAGTATCCTCCAACCAGTATCCTCCAACCAGTATCCTCCAACCAGTATCCTCCAACCAGTATCCTCCAACCAGTATCCTCCAACCAGTATCCTCCAACCAGTATCCTCCAACCAGTATCCTCCAACCAGTATCCTCCAACCAGTATCCTCCAACCAGTATCCTCCAACCTTTCTTGCAGCCATCTTTAAATGAATTGTCTTTCATGCGTTGCTCTCAAAATGCCTCATCTGTGTAAGCCTTCACTGCATTTTCACGGTGGTTATTGCCTGTGTTTTACCACAGAGCACTGGGCCCCCAAAATACAGGGGCTGTCAGGGTTTTTTTTTTTGAGGGTCAAGGGGAAGTCCAAACCACCTCGTGCTGTGTTGCCGTACCTGTTCTCTTATTTTACTGAAAATAAAAAATCAGGTTAAATACGAACTCTGGCTACTTTCTTCTTTCCCTGCAAGCTCTAGTGGTAGTGGGAGAATGAGCAGTGACAGAACTAGAGCGCAGTTGTACCAACCTGAACTCCTTCTGTGCTCCTGGTAGCAGACTTGCTCTTTCGGGAGCTTGACATGCTCAGCGGCAGAAGTCCAAATCTTAAGACAGAGAAGAAAGAAATGTGGCCGCTCCCAGGGCAGCCCCAGCTCTAGACCTGCTTCCCAAAAAGGCAGGAGAACGCACGGAAGAGCCGAGTACCTCACCTGATCTGGCTGGATGCTAACGGCAAGATGTTGTGGAGCTCCTGGGAGCTGGGAGCACCGCTCCTGCTCGTGTACTGGTTCTCCGTGCCGGTCAGCAAGCCGAAGAGAACCTAGAAGGCACGAAGGAGCTGCCTGTAGCTGGGGGCAGTGGCAGAGCTGACCACACACCGCAGCGCGGGTGAGTCTACCGGCAAAATGTCTCCCTTCCCCCTCTAACTCTTGCTTTTAATTGTGCGCTGCTCGTTACTGAGTTCCAGGCCTGTTTCAGCACTACTTAACCCAATTAGCGTTGCACAGGCTCCAGTGAATCCCGGTAGATAAAGTTCAGCCAACTCCACGCATGATGATGAGCCGTGCAGCCAGCTCACCAAGCTCCTCTTATCTTCAGCTGGCATTAAATCCTCTTTCCCATCTCGGAGCCAGCGCCAGCGGTTATCTTTAGGCATTAAGCCGTCTATAAAGCCACCCCCGCTGCCCTTCCAAACTCTGTTTTGCAGCCCAGCTTCCGGGTCCATCCCTTCTTTTGCCTTGAGCTTACGGAAGTTCGCTGGACCAGGCGATTCAGGTTGCTGTTCAAGTGGGGAGTGAAAACATCCAAGTCAAACGGATCTATGTGGCCCTCCAGGAAGTCGGTCACCTTCTCAATCCTACGAGCAGAGCAGAGGAGTCCTGTCAGGGGTCACATCCCAGCGATCTTTCACGGGTCCCTCTGAAACAGGGAGGGATTTGTCCCCAAGAGGTGACGGAGCAAAACAGGAGTGACTCAGCAGAACAGCAGCTGCCTGAAGGGTTTCCAGCAATCACGTAACCTACAACATCTGCTGGGGCAGAGGAACCTTCTCCCTGTCCTACAGCTCGGAGATGACTCCGTTCGAGACTGGAGCATACACAAGGTTTTAACTCTTGGGTGGAAGTGTGACTGTTCTCCCCAGGAGCATCCTCTGACGCTACCCCTGCTGCCGTATGGACACGCTGGGGGACCAGGCTGGGGGACCAGCCTGCTGTCTCCGGGCTCTCAGCCGCAGGATCCCACCCCTCCCTCTCTATTTTGAGGATGAGCTTAGTGTCAGCAAAGCTGTCAGAGCCTAGAGTCTGCTCTGAGGCCCAAAGGCAGCACTCCTGCAGGGACCCTCCCGACAGCCTGTCAGGCCATTGGTTTAAACTGTTTTAGGGACCCACAAACTACTGCTGGTACCTGAACCCCAGAACTGCGCCGCACCTGGAGTCATGCTTGATCCTGCCGGGTTTTGCTTCCTCGCTTTTCGCCGTCAGGATGATGCTGAGGTACCGCAGATCGTAGAGTAACTGCAGAGCCCTGTTCTGCGTCATGGGGAAGGCGCCAGCTTTCTGCAAACAGGACAGTCGGGAAACGGCTCTTCACTCACCCCCAGAGGGCTGTCCACGGACTGCTGCTTCGGGTGAAAAGCTTAAAACCACCAGCCCCAAGAAACAACCAACCCAACGGAACCGTTCTGAGCGTGCAGGCTGGCGTCTGATCCCTTCTTGCCTCATTTTTGAGGGAGGCAGGGGAAGAATGTGCCTTTCCACCTCTCGCAGGCAGACATTTGCTGGTCCGAGGGACAGGAGTGTACGCATCGCCACGGGCCCAGCGACCCCCTCACCCCCCACCAGCTGGAGCAAGGGCTGATCCTCCTCACGTACCTTCTCCTGCTGCTCTTCCATGAGCTTTTCGTAGGCAGCAAGCACTTCTGCCATGCAGAGCCTCAGCAGCTCCTGCAAGGTGACTTTCGGAAGAGTATGGCCACCGACCCGGTTCACCTCTTGGCACAGACTGAAGAGGAGGCACTGGACGTACCAGGAAGGCTGTTGAAGAAAACAGTGTTATTTTCCTGTGGTCTGTAGCTTTATCAGCAGCACAACATCACTTCAGTGCTCGTGATGTGAGCTTCCTACTTCCTCAGCAACCACAAAGCGCTGCCACTGAGACCTACCTGCCCCCACAGCACGGCTCAAGTTTTGTTTACTGACACAGCAGACTTGGGGGACTTTGGGGACGGCTATAACCAAAAGTACTTTTACCAGAGGTATTCACCTGATGTAGCCAGAACAGAATTGTTTGTCGTGCCTCTTCTGTCACCACTGACCCTGCTTTGACCGACCACCCACTATCTGGGCTTGTTATTTACTCCCTCCCTTTTCTCCTGGGCCTGCCAGGTATCCTGAGCTCTCATCCAGCTACTTTTTCCTTCAAAATCAACAAAAAAATCACCTTACAAAGTTCACTACAAAAGACTATTGCCCTCCTGTACTGTGCAAACACAGAACTCTCTTGCCCTGGCCCTCCTCTCCCTCCACGTGATCACCACCGGCTTCGTCACTGCAAGTGTCATGCCTGCACCACCACCCCCACGCTGAGGGAGAGCTGCACGCCACGGTTCTCTCCAGCTTTGCACGGTCCCGCTCTCGCAGCCCTGTCCTTCGGTGCCTCCAGTTTCCATGAACTCATGCTCCTGGGGGCGCCTGCGTATAAATCAGGCCCAAGTCCTTTGGCTCAGTTTTACAAGATCTGGGCCAATCTTACTCATTTGAATATATAGCAGCAACTATCTGATTGTCCTCCTCTGACCTCAGGAGGTATCTCAAAGAGCAAATAGCGCTGGAGAGTGTTTGCCCTCTGCTCCTAACACCAAACAAACTCCAGAGCAGGTCAGCACCATTTGACAAAGCAGCAGTTTTGGAACCTTTCCTCCTCCCAGCAGACTGTTTCTTGGGGTTTACCGAGAAGACGCAGCTCGTACCTGCACAGGCAGCCGGATCGTTGATGTTACGCTGTTTCCAGACTCCGTCTCCTCCTGAATTTCAATTTCATCCCAGTTGGTGGCTGTGGCCAAGACCGAGCCAGCTGTGTCGAGCAGCAGCGTGTGGGTAAAGCACTGCACCAGCCCCTGGAGCGCAAAGCACGAGAGCACCCAGTCACAGACCGCTCTAACGGGAGCGCCAAAGGACAGGCAGCCTGCTCCTCCGCTCCTGCCCGCGGAGACACCCCCCCTCCCACATCCCCCCCACTCCTCCCAAAGCAATTCTTATGGAAACCATCCCACTGGGTGCCACCTCCGAGCTGCCGCCGCGCCCTCTCCCCGCAGGCTGACCGAGCAGCGCGGCGAGCTCTCAGCGGCGCTGACCGCAGGGAGCTGAGCGAGCGAAACCCACGCAGGAAGCAGCTGCGAGGATTAAAAAAAAAAAAACCCCAGCTCCTTACTTTGGTGACAGCTGAGCTCCAGATCTGATACGCAAACAGGCTCTGCTGCAGGAGCTCTGCCTTCACCCCCTGCCACTTGGCCTGCACGGGGGTCACCTCCTGGGTTTTCCCCTTCCCCAGCTTCTTGGTGGAGCGGGTTTCCTTCAGCGCCGTCTCCGGGCTGCCCGAGTGGCCCAGGATACACTGCTTCAGGTGAGGGCAGAGCTCGGGCAGGGACTGGCAGAGTCTGGCCATGAAGAGGACGGCGTTGAGCCTGGCATCGCTGGGAGCGTCCGCCTGCCCCCCCAGCCGCCGGCTCT